TTTTGTTTTTCAATACTTTTGAATAAGGGATTTTATAAAGAAAGTGCCCGCTGACTTTTGGAAACTTTTGGAAAGCTTCAAAACTAAAGAGCTTAGGACAAGTAAATAAGGAATAGAGGGTGAGTAAAGCAAATCAAAAGGGAAAAAGTAAACTATAACAATAAACAATATTCCACTACAAATACCCCTCCCAAAAAAAATACATTATTCTAGGGGCCTTCATAAATCAGTGCAGGGAACAAAAAATACATTATTCTAGGGGGGTTTATAAATCTGAGGGCCACATTACCCTTTGGAGTTGTCATCCTTGATCTTTGTTAACAGGCCTTCAAACTTCAATTGAGCATCATCCTACTTCATCCTCACTCACTGTTAGGACGTGGATAGCCGTGTCCATCAAACTCTGTGAAGGCCCTTCCCATCGAATATCTCCACTCTGCCTGACGCAACTCTGAGTTTGGCTTCAAAACGACCGAACTTCCACTTCAGGTTTGTCTCCAACATGAACTTTGAGCTTCCAGAAGTACAACGTCTTCTTTTGGAACTTGATCAGTTGGGCTCCACCTACAACGTTTCATGCAAGTGGATGAAGGAGAATCGAGACAGGTGGGGCAAGAAGAGAGGGGGTTCATATATATATATATATATAGTGTTCACTTCTTGTTTGTCCCTCCGCAAAGACTAACGAGTAGTGTCGTGTTGTGTTGTGTGTGTTTAAATCGACGTTCATACCAGGTACGACAACGATAACACAGCGATACCAAAAACAGACGACAACACAGCGAGCCTAAATTATCTTCCGGTACACTTGTACAGAATGGCCCACAGATGTACTAAGTACTACCCCATTGAAAACTCACGTAGACCCTGAAAACCACTGCTTTCTGGAGGAAGTTACAGTCTTTGAGGGTGCCATAGGGCCTCCGGGTCCATGTCAATGTGAGTTTAGCTGTGCAACAGTATGGCGCCGTAGAGCTGTGCGTTCGTGGACCGAATGAACTGTTCCACAGCGCGAGCGTGCCCACACAGCGCATGTATACGGTATATCCGAAAGATGCGGCAGTGAGTCATGCGGCACTGTAAGACCGTAAAGGAACAACAAAACGATACCATCCAAAGGCAACAGGGAAATACAGAGAACATGTTATAGACAACCTCACACTTGTTTCATCGTGTTTCCTTTCTTTTGTGGGCCAAGATGAGACTTGCGAACAAGGTGGACAAAGTGGAAGCCAGTCGAGACCAGCTGCTATGAAGGCTTTGGGTTGATTGATGCTTCGGGGTCTTTTGTCACCACCAGAGCAGAAGCTGTGGGATGTGGGCTGTGCCAAGCAGGATCTGCATCTGAGGAGCTCATTGATGATCAGGGAAGAACTTTCCAATGCAAGCCCTGTGCTCCAGGATACAGCCAGGCCAACACTTACTCCACCCAATGTGAGCCATGTCCAAAGGGCACATCAGCAAGCTCATTTGGCAGCACACAATGCACACCCTGTAGTGAAGGCTTTTACCAACCAGAGACGGCACAGACCTCATGCATCTCATGTGGTGCTTCCCGAACAACACTCTTATTGGGTGCATCATCGTTGACCGACTGTGTGTGTGATGCAGGAAACATTGAAGATCAATCCACTTGTGTGGCTTGCCATGAGGACAGCATGCATTGCCCGAAAGGTAGCACAGTCCCAAAGCTTGAGGCAGCTGACGGAACTACGGACTTGAAGAATCCCTTTGTAAAGAAAGGCTACTTCAGCAAGCTGGATATGCTTAAACAAGGTTTTCACAATAAAATACAGAATGAATAGATGTAAAACGTAGAAGCTCTCTATCATGAATTGGGTAACTTCTTTTCCCTACACTCAGAGTGGAATACATGGATACCTCCTTTTGCTGCATCCTCTTTGCCACCGGTTTGGTTGTCCTATGACTCTGTATATATGCTTCGACATTCTTCATTGGAACAGCACGTGATGTTGTTTGTTTTCTTTTTTCACCGCCCTGGAGCATCACCCAAGGCAATCCACTGGTCCCTTTGGACACCTACAAGTGTTCGGGGGAGCTCTTTTGCCCCGGTGGTTCTCCGGGCACCTGCTTCGGAGACCGCGAAGGGCTCACATGTGGAGATTGCAAAGAGGGGTATCTCGGGCTAACGCGAAAAGAGGCCATTCCTATTAGGTTGGAGGCCAGTAGAAGGGTGCCTGCAAGTGATGACACTAAGCTTGTCCTAAATAGTTTCACATGCAGGACTGAACCCTTAAGTGCTAGGAAATCACCAATGAGCCAATGGTTCAGGGCCTACACAGATTTGCACATGCATTTGGCTCAAGATTGCGGAAAAGGCGTGCCAGAGCGCGGGGTCGTCGGCGCGTGCGATTTCGCAATTCTCTGGTCAACCACTGGTTATCAGCCGTAGGCTTTACCTACAGTCTGTACATCCCTGGAGAGCGCTTCATTCTTGGACTCCACTGTAGACCCCGAGGCGCCGAGGAGCTTATTAGTGATAACTACCTTCTGGAGTTGTGTTTCTGCCCTTCGTGGTGGAAAATGGGATACAGACAGAAGCTAAGGCACCTCTCGGAGGGCCTGTCTCAGGGTCACTATTGCAATTCGCGCCCATTCGTATACCGCACTGGCGTTGCGCTTCAGACTGGGTGGATGGGTATTGCAAGGCGGTCTTGATTGGGAAGTGGCTTCGAGCTCAGAAGAAGAGCGCTGCGAATCCCGAAGATCTCGAACCACCGACTCGATCAGAAGGCAAGGCCATCGTCCCCGCCAAGAGCGGCTGCAACGAGCTTGGTGTTAGGATCGAAGGCAGTCCCGGTACCTTAAGCGGCAGTAGAATCTTCATCCGGAGTTTCGACGTCGTCCGTCTCGGTACCAAAGGCGAAGCGCCAAGCTTGCATCGACATCCAAAGGTTGATTCCACAGAGAGCGGTAGCGCTTGAGAAAAGGCTGGAGGTGGACTTAGATGAAAGGACATCAGAGGTAGCCTCGTCCTCAACGACAGCGCCAAAGGCAAAGGCGGCATCAGTGAACTTGGAATCCGAAGTGCCCCGAGCAGTGATTTGCAGAGATGAAGACTGGGGGGGGACATGTCAAAACTGAGAAGCAGGCGATGAGGTAACCTCATTGGCAGTGGTGCAAGCCATTTTCGATAAGTTTGCGGCTCTTCACCCATCTCCCTTCACTTTGAAAGAGTTATGCTGCAGCAGCCTGGGTGGGAAAGGGACAGCGGGAGGGGTCGCCTTTCAGAGAAGGCTTCTCCTTCACACATAGGAAAATCATTTCAATGCAAAACCGGCAAAACCCTTGTCAAGACAGGAGGCACATCCTAGGTTGGACAGGAGGCCAACCATCTTGACATACATGCATAGGTTGAACATATCTTTTAACATACACTTGTTCAAAGCAACATGTGCCATGAAAACCGTCTAACTAAGGGATTTTCATTTTGACAATCAAAACCCTTTAGTTAAAGAACATTGCCTGCTTAAAAAATCTAATTAATGTGTAAAAGCATCTAATTACAGATTTAACCTTTAATTAGAGTTTCTAAAAAGTTTTTACATGAATTAGTTGGGCTCTCTTAGTGGATGCACCCCCAGCAGCGCGCAATCGTTCACGTGCCAGGTGTTCCTGGCAGCCATCTGCCAGACCGAGCCGCCTGAACCAGACCAAGCTGCAGCGACATTGTTTAGAGTTTCCCACGGAAGGCCCGACATTGACCAACACCTTCTTTTTATCTACTCGAAATGTTGGCCTTGCGTATATGCGCAGGGCCGACATGGGTCCGACATGGCATATATGTCTCTAAAAAGGGGTCCGACATTGACCGACATTGGTCTTTATGAAAAAGTGCATTTTTGTAGTCTTAGAATCTACACGCATTAATTTATGGTTTCGTTACTCGTCGAGATTCGGAACGACGGTGGGCTCGCGAACTCCCCCCTTTTCTTCCGGTGCGTGTCTCCAGCGGTCTATCCGACGGTGATTCGGACGGGTCGCCCGCCGCCCTCTCTCTTGCCCTTCTTCCCCTTCTTCGCTTGCGGCGCAGATGCCTTCTTCCTCTTGAGATCTCTTGAGCCCAAACTCTTTCGAAACAACAGCCGAAACAAGTGATCCCTAACTCACAGTACCTTCAACTAAGGGCTTGTAACTAACTTATACCTAATTTGTATCTTCAAAAGGTAACAAACGGTCTTCTACTTAACTAATCTAGAAATACAGAAAAGGTATAAGTTACAAAAACTGTAACTTCAATAAGTACTCATTATAGTTAACCAGCTTAACCCTTTACTGAACTACAAGTTAAGTTGCAACACAAATCAAGTTATCGAAACATTCGAAAACTATAACTTAACTTATAAGCTCGTTTTACACAAGTCATTCCCGGTCATATAGTAGGATCCCTACACGAAGTCTTCGAATCGCCCAATGCCACTAATAGGTACATTGCAACAGACAAACAGCGGGCTGATCCTTAACTAAGAACCTTTGCTCCCTGCCATTGGGACTCCAACTCCTCGGAATCAGAATCACTTCTTGAGGCATCCAACGCCATCTCGTTAGCAGCGACGCAGACTCTGCAGATCCCAAAAAATGCCGTAGGAGGAAGGGGAATCAGAAGTGTGCTTACAAGTGATGACCCTAAGCTTGTCCAAAATAGTTTCACAGAGCCGCATGCAGAACCCTTAAGTGCTAGGGAAACACCAATGAACCAAAGGTTCAGGGTCGACACAGATTTGCACATGCATTTGGCTCAAGATTGCGGAAAAGGGGTGCCAGAGCGCGGGGGCGTCGGCGCGTGCTGTTTCGCAATTCTCTGGTCAACCACTGGTTATCAGCCGTAGGCTTTACCTACAGTCTGTACATCCCTGGAGAGCACTTCATTCTTGGACTCCACTGTAGACCCCAAGGCGCCGAGGAGCTTATTAGTGATAACTACCGAGCTGTTTCGCAATTCTCTGAGGCCATCACTATATTAGGTTGGAGGCATTATTGCTATTAGGTTGGAGGCCATCGCGTTTTTTTGTTTTCATTGGGCGAAGCCCCTTCTTCACTGGGGCATGCTGTTTCACGTTTTTCCCTTCAGCTTCTGAACGAGCCCGTTTCCCATGTTGGTTATTAGGTACTATTGGACTTCCGAGAAATGCGCGCCTTGCGGTGCTGTGCCTGCTGCCTGGGCGCTCTCGGTGGCAGTTTTGGTGATCGGAGTTTGTGGTTCATACTATATGCTGACCAGTAGCTATACGGCGAAAGCCAGTGTGATGATGTGCACCACCGCGGCCTTGGGAATGTTGGTGGCTTTATTCCAGAATCTGGGTGTCTTGAACACAGTTTCTGTTGAATGGCCAGCCGGGTTGCGAGACCTCCTGGATTTCGCTTCAGTCTTCACCTTTAACCTTGACGCTCTGGGCTTTAGCTGTGCTGCAGGAAGCAACGTGGCACGCTATGTCAGCACCGCGTCATTTTTCTGGATAGTAGCTGTTGCGTTGCCCACCGTTGGGTTGCTCACGAACCTCATTCCGATATTGAAACGTCGCGGCCTCGCCTGGGAGAAGTTCAAGACCATCAGTACCCTTGGCCAGTTCTTACAGGCGCCTGAGTCGGCAGCTGTGCGTGTGGGTATAGGACCACGATTTGTTGGGTTTCGGGGGATACGATCGTGTGTCTAACATATATATATATATATATACCAGCACCCTCCAACAGGTGCTTCCTGGTGACAACAGGTGCCCAGAAACCACCTGTTAGGGTCTCCAAAGAGCCTGTTGGAGGGTCCTGATATATATAATGAATATATTCCATGAAGAAGCTTTACTTCACTGTTGTATCGTTGATTCATCGACATGTAGAAATATAATGAAATAGCTCATATTATTGTAATATACAATACAAAATATTGTATGGATTTTGATGATTTGTTGTACTCTTAGGGTCAAACACGAAAAACAATCACTTTGGTCCTGGTGTCCAACATGGATGGCCGAGTTGCGGGTGTCCTCACCAGGATGTTAGCTTTGGGAAGTTGTGCCACTGGAAGGCTGAGGGTCATACACAGCCAGGACAAAGGTTCGAACAAGTTTGTGAGTACATAATACCCTTTCCCCTTAGAATCCTACAGCGGATCACAGTTGTAGGGATCACAGTGGAATGCCGGCGGATTAGTGTCCACCCCGAAGTAGATTTATGGTTATTTTATTTTAGTTTGTGTTGGAAACTAATCCGTCGAAATTCCATCGGGAAAGATAAGTGATGTCCATGACATTCTCGAGTGAAATTGTTATCAAATGTTCTTCCTCCTGAAGTATAAAGCATAAGATTCTTCGACCAAAACCTCTATGTGTGTGTGTGTGTCACCCTTGGAGTCCTTGGAGTCAGAGGGAGCCTTTCGGCTTTTGATTTTTACAAACAGTGGGATGGGACGCCGCTAATACTGCCCGTCCAAAGAAGAGGGTATCAGTTGGTGCTGATACAGTAGAGGACGTTCCACTGCGTACTTGCGTTTTACCTCTCACTTCCCACTGGGCCCTGGTTGTAGCTAGAACATGCTAGACTGCTAAAACAAGACTTTGCCATTTGCATCACTTCCTCACCTCAGCAGACACGCACTGTGAGTTTCGTTGCGCTTCGAGTTTTTCACCTTGAGAGTTGCAGACCACGGACCTTGGGACTGGGACTTTGTGTTTTGGCTTCAACTGTGTAATTGAAGGCGCTTGCAGCTCGTTGCATACAGTACTTTACTGACCTTACTGCATTTCTTAGGCATTTTTCATTGAGGTTTCATCTTACTATATCCCGATTGGGTGGGTGGGGCGACAAAGGGCCATTTCTGGTAGGTTTTCTTGCGCAACAACTCTCCAGGTGGGCTTCACGACCATGTGCAACGTCGGCCTGATGCCTTTCATGTGCTACCGACACCCGACCAATCAAGAGAGCATCTTGAAGTACCCCAATGTCTTCTGTCGCACAGAGGAGCACGCTCTTTGGTCCAAGAAGCAAGATTTCCCTTTTGGCCCGCGACCTGTTTCAGAATTGCACGTGTCCATTGGTGGCAATGTTTTATTGTTGTGATAAGGGCTTGAGCCACATTGCAAGCAGAAACTGCGTAGGGCTTGTATACGTATTGGCAATGTGTGCATGACATTGCAGTCGTTCTGGACGCACCTGATTCTTTCCACGTTTAAACTGTTTTAAAGTTGACATCCGATTTATAGCAATTCCTTAGGTTCCTCAGGGAAACTAATGGAAAACCCCTTTTAGCCGCTGAAAAACACCTCCCCCAGTCCCACCGGAAAGAATATAGGCAGAACACACATGGTTTTTGGTCGGACGGGGCGTCAAGGGGAATCGGCACGGACCCCGCCCTATTGGATCTATTGTTCGACCGATTTTCGACCGATTTGTCCTTAAAATTTTGAACACTTTAGTTCTGTTTTATGAAGCGAAACGAAAAGGAAAAACACTGGTTTCATGACCTTGTTTTTGGAGACGTTTATTTGTGTACCCCCTTCCTTGACTCTGTCCTGTTCTCAGACAATCATGCGCGTGTTTGGGGTGCTGGTGATGTTCTTGGCCTTCAGCTTCTTCATAGCTGCCTGCTACGCCGCCTATCAAGCGCCACGCTGGTCTGGTAAACCCAGGCTGGGGAGCAATACGAAGCTGCCATGAAGGCAGAGGTGGTTTGGTTTGCTGTAGCCATGGGGCGTCATAAGGCCCCTTCCACATACCCTCTCAGAAGGTAATGAATTGGGGACATTTAGCTGGGTTTAGAGAGTCCTACCCTCTGAGAAGGCGAGTGCCTCGGGGAGTAGATTGGATGCACTGAAGATTGGAGTCACGAGACACCGCAAAATCGTAAACACTGACATTGGAAAGCCTCACTCAACGATCAAGGTTGTTGTGTATGTGCCGTACCATCCATGTACGGAATACATGCCTATAGACCCCTGAAACCACCCCCAATGTAGGTCAATATGCCATACATGGAGTGTTTGGGTGTTTGTTTCTCAGTTGAAAGACTGGCCAGGCTAGCAGCGATTCGCTTCTTGATCTTCCGCTTCAGGCCCAACGTGTGGTATTTTGGCTTGGTTTTGCTGGCGCGAGGACCTTTGCTGTCGATGCCAGGGGTGATTGCAACCAACATGCCCAGCTTGCAACTCACCTTGATGCACATGATTTTGCTTGGATCTCTGTGCCTTCAGCTTTGGTTCCTTCCTTGGAAATCTCCGATCCTCAACTTGGTGGATGGGCTCAGCGTCTCCCTTCTCGTCATGCTGTTGGCAGGGTCGCTTGGATATGCCGACAACAGCGGGGAAGAGGCTGCACGTGTTCTGGCCCTGTTCGGAACCGTGATCTCGTCCATGATGCTTGAATGTACTGGCGTACAGTCTGGCGTACTTAGACCCTTAGGGTTTAGGGATTTCTGACTACTTTGTTTGTTTTTGTTTGTTTTTTTATTTGTTTTTTTATTTGTTTTTGTTTTCACCCTTAGCATGCTGGACCGGGGGAACCCGCAGCCCAGGATGGTGGTGATCTTGGGAGGAATGGTGATGCTTGGCCTTTGTGCCCTCTTCTATCGCTCAGCCTTGGGAAGCTCCAAAGAACTGCGCATCATGAACCTTGGGAAGGTCCCAGAGGCACCATCCTTTTCCCCTATTCTCCCTGGAACTGATGGCACCACCGTCATTCTTAACATGGCCATGCCATGCACTTCCATGTTTCAGTGATTCAGTGTATTTACTCTGTTTTTTTCCGAGGGAGTGAATCACTTTAGTTCCCCAAGCAAGTCCCAAGCTGCCTTCAATGATTCAGTGTCCTGGCCGGTCTGAAAGCATTCCAAGTGTCCGGACCTGGTAGGAGAAAGATGTCTTTCAGAGCCTTTTGGACGTGGCCACCTTCCTCAAGGAAGAGACTGGGCCCTTTCATGAATAATTGGATCTTTTGTCTCATTCCACTCTTCAGCTGATTCCATTGCATCAATAGGCCCGCTTTTGCCTGGCCTTTGTCCTTCTGTGTTTGCAGAAAACGCTTTCTCAACAATCAGGATGGACAGGGCAAAGAAAAAACCTTTATCTCTGACCTCGGCAAGCTCTCAGTCTACGACCTTGGCACCGTGATGCGAGCCATCAACATCCTGGCTGATGACTTGAACATGGCCGTTGGGGATGGCACGCGCAAGAGTTCCTCTAGCCGGCGTATTGCCACTGGACAACGCACCACCAGGAGGGACGGACGATGAACCAGTGTTTCTTTTGAAGGCTGGGGAGGTGAACCAGCTTTTGGTGAAACACCGGTGGATGTCCCATCGGACGGTGACCTTTCAGCGAGAGCTTCCAGCTCTTCGTGTGACACTGAACATAGAAGCCCATAGTTTAAAGATCTACTATATTGTGGTCCCCCAAAAGAAACGCTTTCCAATACATTTATAGTAGTGGGGAGGTACTTTTCGATCTATTTGGGGGTCTGTGATATCTCAGATTGGCTTGGTTTGGGGTTTCTCTGCAGAAAACTGACCGTGACGGAGATGAAGCTGTTTGAGACATCAGCTCTCCTCCTCGTTGTCCCCATGGTCGGAGCGATGTTTAGGCCTTTGCTCCCTGTCGCACCAGCTGCGGTGGACAAAAATGCCCAAAGAGGACGCTGGAGTCCGAGGGTGTTTGGCCGGAGATCATGGGTGATATGGGTGATACCACACAAGGCAGGGGTTCTGCCCTTATATCATCTTATATCTCCGTCTGGCCAGCATGCGCAGTCATGGCTTTTGGATCCCAGTCATTCATCCCCAGGAGCCAAAACAGCTTCAGCTCCGAGAACGAGAAGGTCACAGAGGCGGCCAACGAGCCTACAGAGAGTCCTGACGCGGCAGCACCGGCGGAGAAAGAGAAAACTCAATCCGCTTTTGTATAGGCCGCTGATCCTGGACAAGGTTCGGGACAGCATGTAGTGGCTCCCAACGCTTGTGCCTCTTGTGCTTGGAGGAGGGTTCAACACATATATGCATTTCAGTGACTTGTTGGCAAAAGGCATGCAAAGCCCATCATCATCATCGTCATCATCATCATCATGAAAGCCCATCAATCTAGAACAGGATCATCTTTCGGATGGGGGGCCACCTCATGAAGATTGAGAGCCATGTGGACCGAAGGGCCGGCTCTCTCTCTTTCTCTCTCTCTTTCTTTTGCTCGGGCGGATTCCCGCCCTTGAGCGTAAACTTTAAGTTAACGGAATACAAACAGACTTGACGTGGTCTCCCCACACAGAGTGTGTGAATCTGGCACCGCGACTAGCAGAGCAGCGACCGCTCAATTCCTCCGGTGGCTCTCTTGAGAGTTGACGACAGTCCCACGTGGAAACGCCATGATTCTTCAGCTTCATGCGCGGTTCACGCGCGGAGACTTCGTCAGAGGAAGCATAGCAAGAAAAGTATCTGTTTGGCGCCACATTTCTCAAATCCGCCAAGATGACTGTGATGCATGATGGCTTGAGAATTACAGTGACGGTTCTTGTTGTGTTCATGTATACCCATGTTCATGCTACTGTAACGGAATCTAGTCTATAGTAAGTCATGATACTGGTACTGGTACTTTTATCCTTGCACTGGCGCAAAGAAAGGACTTGCAACCTTATATTTGTATATATTGTTGTATTCCCTAATTAGGCTTCCAACAACCATTGTTTTAAAGGCCTTTACCGAACCACAATTGTTTTATTAAGGATTTTACACTACGCAACCAGGTCAACCTTTCTTTGAATGGTCTTGGAGGTCTAGGGTACGTATTTATACATATATATATATATATATACTAGCCAAACGCCTGAAGAACACCCAACCACCTCGGCTGTTTGGGTATGTGAATGCGTCACCAGCCATTCTCAGCTCCAGCAATTCGTGTCACTGGCAGCACTGGCCTTTTTGGTCTCTGAAAACACATGGATCCCTTCAGTCGACACCTGTCCTTCAGACCGAGTCGAAGCACACACGACCCGGTTCATCGACGTCATGTCGACCGCTCGGGTCCGGTCGCGACTGCCGCGACGGCCGGTTCTCGCTCGCTCGGTTCTCCGTGGTACGCGTCCATCTCCGGCTGGCAGGAAGCCATGCTGGATGAGATCGCCAAAATGCAAGCGCCGGGAGGCGGGTGGCCAAAATGGAGCCGTTTGTGGTGATGGATGAGATCCCAGAAACATCCACTCAGAGCCTTGTTGGACACTGAGAACTGGGTGGTATTGTTTTTCAGGAGATGGTATATAGACATGTATAATTAGACTATATATATATAGACTATAGAGGTGCCCAACAAAGTAATTACTGGGGACCCGCACTCCTGCACTATGTTCAGGCTGGATTTGCCATTTCTTTGGGTGTGAGCACTTCTGACAGGCTGATCAGGAATAGGTACTGTACCCATCTGTACCCTACAGGATCTTCAAAACCAATAACATTGTTTCAGCTCAGGAACCTTTGACTCTTAGACTTCAGGATTGCAAGTCACCCTTTTCCCAACAGTCTATAATGAGGGCATCTATACTCTCCTAGGCTTCCAACATCCATGAATTTAATATAGATAGTTTAATAGCCTTCACCGAATCAACTAAGGATTTTACACTACAAACACCAGGTCAACCTTTCTTTGAATGGTCGAACGTCTATAGGGGCTCTATGATACACCCTCGGTCACTTTCCTTCCGTCTTCGGATCTCTTCGGTCTGAACCCCGAAGAGCGAACCTCAGTGGGTGAAACCGGGCTCCGCGATGGCCTCCAACCTAGAAGCTTCTTATTACTATAGGGTTTGGTTCGGCCCCGACCCTTGCCATGGACAGCCCGAGCTCGGATTCTTATGGTAGTATAATGCCAGGAGCTACGTGAAGCAGCTTCTTGCTCCCGAAACGTGGCAGTGCCCGTATTTTGCTTCACCCTAGCGATGGCCGCAAACGCCCGAGCAGAGCACCGGGCCGAGAGGTTTTGACTTTGTGATCATTTGCTGCTCCGACTTGTCGGCCGAGAACTACTGGCAGGTTCTTCGCACGGGCACGGGCGCGCGGGGTTCCGCGGGCGAAGGGCCTAAGAATCCTTGGCTGTCCATGGCAAGGGTCGGACCCGACACCTTCGCAGGGGTCCGGGGCCGAACCAAACCCTATTTGTTTCAGGGCCCGGATTCTTAGGGCAGAACCATTCTAATTACAAAGGCTCTCAAGCTGTCGCCGGAACAACCCTGGTGGGGATGAGGGAGTCACCCGATCGATGAAAGTCACCGCGATCGATGAGTGCCATGCAGGACCAGCGCAAGTTCGTGTTTTGGTCCCACCAGGGTGAGGGAGTGAGTCAGATCACAAGGTGCCAAGAGCTGAGTTTCTTTTTGTTCTCAGAGGTGCCAAGTGGGGCTTGGACAGATTCACAGATGCATCAGTGGGCGCCGACAGATTCCGGGATGCCTTCGTGACCCAATGCCTTCGGATTTGTGGCCGTGGTTTGACGTCTAAGTCCTCGTCCGAAAACCTTTCGGCATCCTTCCTCGCGCAGTGTGCGTGATGTTCGAGCGCATCCTCCCAGACGACTGATCGGTTGCATGGTTCGGTGAAGTTGACGAGACACCCCCATGGAAGTCTCATGCAAATTGGATGGCCTCTTGGACCCGCTTGGACCATGTTCCTCCACCAACAGGTGCTCTCTCGCTTCCATCCCTTTGTGACGTTAGCAATGCCCTTGGTTCCTAGTAGCGTCCTTTGTTACTATAGAGGAGCTACGTTCGTAGCTTCTTGTTACGTTATTCCAGGGAGTGTACCGTACTGACGAGTCCTTGGACAAATCGCTGTTGAGCAGCTGACGAGTGTGTGGGAATCCTCATGCAGATCCTTTCTCTTTTTGAAGGCAACGTCCCGTTCGAACGCCAACGTCCGAACTCTTCAGCAGCAACGTGTTCCAGTCATTTCCAGTCTGCTTCTACGGCCGAACCCTGGGCCGAACTAAGGGTCTGTCCCAGTCAAACGGTCTGGAGGGGCAAAAGGTCTTATCACATCGAGATCTTATCACATCTGATCACTAGAGATGGAAAGGTCTACAACCAAAGCATCGTCCACTGGTCCCTGGCGATGGACTCAACCTAAACCGAGCCGACAGACACTTCCTATACCACGATACGTGGGTCTCCTTTTGCATCTCAAAAGTGATGAAGACGTGATCAGCCCTTCATGTCGTTTTTTCTGTGATGACTCATAAACAACTCAGACCTCTACCTGGGTGTACATTAAGATAAGGAGACCCATAGACTCAGAACCCCTGGCAGCTTCAGACAACCAGTCTGCCACTGGTTGGAGACCTTCGACCTATGTCACACACCCATCGGTCAGTACTGAGACCTTGCCCACCTCTCTTGGTGTGGCCTCAAAGTAGTGGCACTTCATTTTGTGTCTTCTACCAGCACCCGACTTCACAGGTGCTTCCTGGTGACAACAGGTGCCCAGTTAGGGTCTCTAAACAGCCTGTTCGAGGGTCCTGGTACCTCTTCTTCTTTGACTGTAGATCAGTTGTAGCATGTTGTAGCTGCAATCGGCGCCATCTCGTGCCTCGTGCATCAGGTAAAACATTTGTCCCGCGAAAAACGTGTCTTTTACTACGATCTGTTCAAACGCGTCCTTGACATTCCTTGACGCGACCCTTCGTGTGTGCTTTGTGCTCCTGCGACCCTTCGTTTCCACTTGAAGCTTCTTCCAAAACCGCTGTAGAATCGTTTTCATCCAGGTCGCCAGGGGGACGAACAGATGGATTTGACCGACCTCCAAGTGCACCAGATCGTCTCAGATTCCCTTTTCGCGCACGACGCAACGGAGGTCCGATAATAGCCCCTTACCAGGGGCCCTTAGAACCATGAAAAACACATTTTTTTACATACAAAAACAATGTTTTTTGCTAGGGAAAACCTAGGTTTTTGATGGTTTGTGGGGCCCCTGGTAGAGGCTTTTCGCAGCTGATCCTTCCAGGAGCGGCTCTCGCAGACGATCCGGGAGGTCACTGGTACCAGCTCCAACGTGATCTGCGTGCACGAGGCGCACCGCCCCAGCACCGAAATTCTGGGGAGTGGGAGTGGCGGTGGGCTTGGGGTTGGCGTCCAGCGTTTTGGTTTGCAAAGTCCATGACGCTTGAGTGGGAGGGATTTTGATACATGCTTGACAAAGGAAAGATGCGTCTTGAACCACTGCAAACACTGCAAACAATCCTTAAGTGACTGAATCACGATGGAGCTGGAGCCAGTCCGTGGGTCTTTCCCAATTGAAGGACCTCATTTGAATCGTTGGATTCCGAAGGAATTGATCAAACATGCGAGGCTATTCACGGACCTGGTCCTTTGAGCGCCTTCAAAGAGCAGGATTTTTGTGCGCGCTTGTCCCCCAATGAGACCAAGGGAGTTCAGTTCATGTACATCCATCAGAATCATGTACTCCCTGGTTACCGCGCACACCCAGCAGGCTCAGCAGGCTCGCACATTCTCAACAAAAACACCCATACAAGGTGTGATCAAGATCCATTTTTGTAGCTATGGCTGAGACATCTTGAGACAAGAGGTGGACTTGAGGTTTCAATCATGTGCCAGCATCACTGACAACAAGCTTAGGGTTTGCCGGAAAGTCGTGACCAGTGAAACAAGGCCACCATGCTTGATGTTCGGAGCCCAGGGCCCGGCCAGGAAGCTCCGAAACCGAACCAAAAAGCATCCAAAAGCCGGCGGGAATCCGACTGTTGAGTGAGAGGATTCGACCTGAAGAGCGCCCAGATCTTCAGGAACAAGTCTTTTGTTTCCTCCTTGCGGTTTGACACTGAGGCACAACTTGGTTGGTCCCAGATGCAGGTGTAAAACTCCGCGAGAACACATGAATGCGGAAGGCACGAAAGGCACCAATGAGATCCTTGACGGTCGTAAAATCAGCCTATAAGTGAAACCTCCGGCCTATCAAAACCTCAGAAACCCGTCTTTGACTCCTGAGAGTTCAGTCCCTCAATTTGAAACCAAAAAAAATGGCACCACCCCTGGCCCTATCATAACAGGAGTCACACAGGGTTGTTTTTAGTCCCTATAGT